TAAGACGCATGCGCCTCGAGCCTCCCTTAAGAAAGTAACAAAAACTTATTGCTGAATGAAATTCAATTGTTGCCTCAATAGTTACCTGACAATTGTTGTCACAACCGTTGCACCGTGATATATAGCTAAATAACATGTAAGCAATTCAACAGGTTCCCGCAAGCGAAGTAATTAATATACCAGTAAGCCACAGTGAATGTAGTGAAAATTATAAAAATATTTTTGCTTAAAAAGTTAGCTTAAGCTCGGACTAAATTTGTGAAATAAACTCTTGAGCTAATTTCAGCAGTACAAAATTTTAAACTAAGTTTATGCTCACTTTTTAAGGTGTGTTTACTTTTAATTTTACATATTTTGCAAAAAAACAATACCTGGTTTTGAATATTTATTTATGCAAGCGGTTTTTGTAATTTTGGCTTTTTTTTTATTTAAAAACATTGAAATTTTGTGAAAAATCTGTGGATAAAAATATTACCTATAATTTTTACCCAAAGATTCATCTGAATATCTTCTCGGATAGGCAAGCGGCTATTAAGGCACTATCTTCTACCTATTGGATTACCCTTCAACAGGTTCCAGCCCTCCCAAGGATGACACTCGGCAAGCCAATCCCGCAATATGTTTCAGAGTGAAGCTGCCTCTCTCTGTATGACGAACTGAAGGTCAGGGCCGCCAAATTGCTGTAGGTTTGCACGAGTTGTGGAATCAAAATGGCAAACTTACTAATTGCTTGTCACCAGGGCAGGGACAATCCACTTAAACCAACCTTTCAATTGTCAATGTTTCCATTTACACAAGATTGTAACCGTCTGCTTTAATATAAACAAATTTTATACATGAATATATGTTGTATTTTGAAATGTTGTCGCTATTTTCTAGTTAAAATATGTGTATGTATTATTTATTTTGGTACTGGCAATAAAATATTATTAACATATTTTTAATTGCTATTTTACCTGTTTTATAGCATATTTTTGGATTTTTAGCGGCGCATCCAGTATTTTGGGAGGGGTTTATACTTCTGAAAATTCGCTTCAGATAATATGCTCTTTAAAATATGTACATTCATACAAGTTTTATGTACAGTATGTAATAAATAAACAAACTTTTTAAAATTTCATAAATTGCAATTTATGTACATGAAATTAACAAAGAACTCAAACATTTTAACCAACTTCAAGGCTATCAATTCGTCGGAATATTTTTTTCTTTTTTATGTATGCTGCCGCATAACTTTGGACCACGTGAACCGACTTCAATAATTCTTTTTTTATCAGAAAGATAAAAACCCGTAACTCGGTTTAGATCCGATCCCTGGATCATGAAAAAATTAACGGTAATTTTGTATATGAGAATTGAAGTCGGTTGTGTTTTTTGCTTAAAAATTACTTGTTTAATAAAACGTTCTATGAACACAAAATGCACTCAACTTTCAAATGTAATAAAAAATTTTAAAAAAGAGTTGTATTGCTTCATTTCAAGAAAAAGAAAAATTCATATAAAACGACGCACGGAAAATGGAAAAGAAATTTTCTTTTATTAAAATTTCTTAAATCAGTTTGCAGTTTGTCTCTGCAGTTCACAAATTTACTAGACTAGAAAAAGGCTCCCGCGTTAACACCGGGGCTATACTACTAACTTTCGACAAATACACACCACCTAATCGAATTGAAGTCGCCTGGCGAACCCTTGACGTCCGTCCTTACTACCCAAATCCTATGCGCTGCAAAACTTGTCAGCTGCTAGGGCACACAACCAAACGTTGCAACAATACTCCGACTTGTGCGATTTGCAACCTCCCACAGAACCATTTCTCTCCTACAGAATGTACCAGAGTATACTGCGCCAACTGCGAGCGCATCCTTCTGCCTCAAATACCTGCCCTAAATTTATTCAATCTAAAGATATACTAAAAATTAAAACTATACATAAATGTACCATGAAGCAATCACCATATACAAAAATCAACTTCCTACCACTCCCTCCACCACCTCTTTTGCCAGGGTGGCTAATAAAACTTCCAACAATGACACTACTACAAATTCAAAAAAGCCCATTTACACAGAAAATAATACAACAACAATAAATTCCAACCTCAACGACAATCCTCCAACATCAAGTATAAATGACAATTCATCTGCCAATAATCTTCTATTATCTCAAAAACAACTTCCTGAAACCTCTAAGAAAACCTCCCTCTCCTCTTCGCCCTCTTTGAACTCTTGCCCCTCCCCACCCTTTTCACCCCTTACCCTCAACTCTGCACCCTCCCCTCTTAACTCCTCTCCCCTTGCCACATTCACCATCTCTCCTCTTTCTCATAACCCATTCCCTTCTCCCTACCCCCTTACCTCACCTCCACCCGCATTAATGGAACAGTAAATTTTCACACTATACATCTATTCTCCTAATAATAATATAATTTTTACTCTTAATAAATCACTATGTTATCCATACTTCAATGGAACATAAATGGTTACCTAAATAATTATATTGAACTTGAACTATTAATTAAAACATAGAATCCTTCAGTTATATTATTAAATGAAACTCATATCCCCACCAATTCCTCTGCTCATACCCCTAAATCTTCATTGGCCATTTTTTTAACCTCCCCTGCAACTCCCCAACTTTTACATCCAGCTTGCTCATCAAAAGCGACATATATCGTCTTATTAACGAAAAGAGACGTTGCAAGTTAGGCCTTGATTGGACCGATTACAACCACCACTACGCCAGAATCAACCCAACCCGGATCAAACCATACTATCCGTCAACCATACCAACAAATATGCTCTCACCGTTCATACGACTTCGAATTGCACACACCATAATCACTCACGCTCACCTTCTCGATAGGGGCCGGAACAATAATTGCCCGTTCTGTGACTCCCCATCAAGCGTTTTTCACCTAATTACTTTTTGTCCAGGACTTGATGCCAAAAGGCAACGCAACTTCAATGCGNATTTACAAAGAAAATAATACAACAACAATAAATTCCAACCTCAACGACAATCCTCCAACATCAAATATAAATGACAATTCATCTGCCAATAATCTTCTATTATCTCAAAAACAACTTCCTGAAACCTCTAAGAAAACCTCCCTCTCCTCTTCGCCCTCTTTGAACTCTTCCCCCTCCCCACCCTTTTCACCCCTTACCCTCAACTCTGCACCCTCCCCTCTTAACTCCTCTCCCCTTGCCACATTCACCATCTCTCCTCTTTCTCATAACCCATTCCCTTCTCCCTACCCCCTTACCTCACCTCCACCCGNCTTTCTCATAACCCATTCCCTTCTCCCTACCCGCTTACCTCACCTCCACCCGCATTAATGGAACAGTAAATTTTCACACTATACATCTATTCTCCTAATAATAATATAATTTTTACTCTTAATAAATCACTATGTTATCCATACTTCAATGGAACATAAATGGTTACCTAAATAATTATATTGAACTTGAACTATTAATTAAAACATAGAATCCTTCAGTTATATTATTAAATGAAACTCATATCCCCACCAATTCCTCTGCTCATACCCCTAAATCTTCATTGGCCATTTTTTTAACCTCCCCTGCAACTCCCCAACTTTTACATCCAGCTTGCTCATCAAAAGCGACATATATCGTCTTATTAACGAAAAGAGACGTTGCAAGTTAGGCCTTGATTGGACCGATTACAACCACCACTACGCCAGAATCAACCCAACCCGGATCAAACCATACTATCCGTCAACCATACCAACAAATATGCTCTCACCGTTCATACGACTTCGAATTGCACACACCATAATCACTCACGCTCACCTTCTCGATAGGGGCCGGAACAATAATTGCCCGTTCTGTGACTCCCCATCAAGCGTTTTTCANCTGATGAGGAAATGTGGTGATTTCCGAAATAGCTATCACTTCTACCAGTTTTTCAAATTATTGTTGCTTTTCCACAATAAATTTTCATTTAAAAAATGGCCTCGAGCTCATTATAAAATTGTTGAATAAAATATTTTTTATAAAAAACGAGTTACTTTTAACGAAGTTTACAAATATGCATTTCAGAAGAAAGGGGTTTCATCGCATTTACAACGATACCAAAAGGGGATTTAATCGTTTTTACAACAGGCCCAATTAAAAATCGGTTAGTAATATTTTTGTTTAAAATTTTTTTTGAAAAGACGTTGTTTTTTTCTAAAATTTTTATATACGAAGTATACAAATATGCAAATCGAAAAAAAGGGGGTTTAATTACCTCTACAACGATATAAATTATTTAAAAATCAGTTCAAAATTTTTTGATATATAAGGAATTTAATTTTTCGAAGACCTGAACTATGACACCCGTAATATAAGTTTGCACAAAAAAAGTTATATACCATTTAAGTAAGAGCAAAAGGGGGTCTACGTCTATATTTTTAGGTTATTAGTAATTTTTATGCAATAACTAAATATATTTTTTTACCAAAGGTCCTATTTCGAACTTCGAAGGCCCATATCTAGATTTCGGAGGCTAACTTCGAATATCGAAGAAATTACTTTTTTTTTACTTATGACTCAATCTCTTAAAAAATATTGGTTTGGTCTCCAATACCCAGAAAAAAAGTGTAATATTCTAATAAATAGAACAAAATAAAATATGCCATTTTTCTTTTTATTTTTTACTGCTCCGAATTTAAGTTTGGAACTCAGCCTCGAGGCAACTTTCCATCGCTAGATCTAATCCTTATATTTGTTTACCAGTTTTCGGAATATGGGAGAAATGTAGCAGCAGGGGATCCACCGAAGCCAGTCAAATTTTAAAAGTTGTCTGTGAGGAAAAAATTTGGTTGTTAGAGATGTACGCATTGAATTGAAGCAGTATTGAATGCCAACAATGCTTGCTGAAGTCTAGAGAAAGAAGTCTGATGAGGAGATGTGGTGATCTCCGATGTGGATTTTGTTGATTTTGCCATTTTCCCTAAAAAAATAATCGTGCTACAAAGCTCAGCAACCCTGCTGAAATAAATATTAATGATAATATCGATGCCAAGCCTGATTACCTATAAATTTTTTTTCGTTAACATTGGCAACGAAAGCATAATATCGCAAAACCGCAAGATGAAATTATTATGCAATTTCCACTCATAGATAAATTGCTTCGATTATTACAAATTCCAATATGAATGCATGCAATCTTATAAAAATGAGAAACCGCTAAGCGACAATTTCAGTCCACTGCTTGCTTGCTCCCGAAACTGTATGCGCAGTGAAACTTTGTTATCATGTCTGCCTACACGAATTTCGCCATCATCAAAATAAGAATTATTTTCACTTTGCTGCAGGAACTGGCTATTGCACGTGGTATAATTGTAGAGCGAAATCTACATGCCTACTACAAGTTGCCCATAAAGCCAGCGCAATATACTATTCCGCAAGAATACCACATTCTACAGTGTCCATACCAAAATACCAGTGCTATACCAACGCCAGAGAATATGGACATCTGTGTGATTATTAACAGTTACAGAGAAGAGATGAAGAATGCAACAACTACTCATACAACAAAGAGTCCTTTGCATACAAAAGTGAAATACCAAATGCCAAGAAAGTATAGAGACGTTCCTATGCAATTGACGAAGAGACCTAACACGCATCCATATATGATAGTCATTAGACCAATGCGAATGGGCACTGAATCGAATTGTCGCTATGCTAAAAGATTGAGATTAAAGCCGTTGCCATACTATGTCGAACACTTGGGAATAGTGAAAAAAGACAACTGTCGAACGTTGGTGCAACAATCACCTTTGCAAAGCGTAAAACCGCCGGACCAAAGAACGGCCAGTGCAAGAGGTAGATTAAATATTGTGGCAAAAGTGAAACCAATCACGGAGCATGTGGAAGAAAATGTAGGAGAAATTGTCGAAAAAGTAGCAGATAACAGTGCAGTCGATTCGAAAGCTGAAGCTTCAATGGATAGCGAAGAGGCCAAATCGCAATCAGAGTCTGAAGAGGAATACGCTGACTATGGTGGACATAACAAAACATTTGCAAAGGAAAGCATTTTAGCACCAAAAACATCAGTTCTTAAATATCTTGGCACCAAAGATGCCATCGAAAAACTCAGTAAGCTCCATTCCAGAGATCGAACGTTGCCTATGGAAGGTACTGAAAGGTATTTTGCTGAACACAACGATTTGCAGCGAGGTGAAAAGGCGCATGGTTTTCAAAATTATTATCATCGTGATGAAATTTTCAATGATCACATCTTCTACGACGATTTGCAGCAGCAGGGAGAGTACGTTAATCGCGATCGTGCTTGATTGTATAAAATATAGTTTAACAAAAAATAATTGTATATTAAATTATTTCTTAGCATTAAAATTCATTGGGTGAAATTTTCTTTGTGATTTAATTTAGAATCCCAAATCGAGAGTGCTGATTAAAAAACCGGTAAGGCCCTTGTTTATAGGCAAGCAAAAACGGCACAAGTCAGCCATATTTAGGGAATACGGAGAACTCTTGGGTAGCCTAATTTGTAAGTGTTGGTTTCAAAGAATCAAACTAATGATTAATGATATTACTAAAGCCATGAATGGTACTTCAACAGCCGGATCTCCGGTTGTTCGCCACTGACGAAAAACAAAACCACCTTGGTGGAGAAAACAATCACCCTCATTACGTGAAACTAATAGAACACTGCTCAATAGGGCTAAATCCACGGGAACGTCCGAAGACTGGGAAGACTACAAGGCTGATTTGAAAACACGCGGAAAAGTAGTTAGCAACGTAAAACCTGGAAAAATTATTGCAAGGGAATAGAGAATTCTCTCCAAGTCGCCATGCAACCTGGGCTATCTTAAGGATCAAGGTAACACATGGATGACTCCTTCTAGATGCCTACTTCTCAGTCAAGCAGTTGGTGGAGGATACCGACTTCGCTAATGATAAGAGGCAATCTGATGATTACAAATGTGAAAGTGGAAAACTTTTGGTCCTTACAAATCACTGGGATTCGATGGCATTCACTCGGCATAGTTTCAGCAATCACGGGTTAGTATTTCCCCGTTCATTGCGGCCATGTGATTATAAAAGCTGTCTTGACATGGGCAGTATTTCGCTAGGCGCTTCATAGCCAAGGCAGAGAGGCCCTAAGTCCCAACCGCTAGGTTAGCCAACACCAAACTAAGCAAACAAGTCGTCAGAGGCAACCCTCAGGAAAGGGTTCTCTCTTCTCTGGATTTTGGTTGTGGAATCCTTGCTACATACCCTACAGAGAGGGGTTTCTACGTTACTGCTTATGCTGACGACCGGGCAATTGCCTTTAAAAGCATTCTGTGCTCTAATATGATCACGCTTAGAAACTCGACAGGGAATAGGAAACTCGGAATAAATCCCAAAACAACTGAAGTAATTCACTTTACAAAGAAACTTAGGCTCTCTAGAGTTTCCTCATTAATTTTCACGGGTGTGGAAATTCATTATGTATGTATTGTGGTACGATTTTCTATCATTTCTTGTCAAATTTTATGTGGAGACAAACGGTTTCGCCGTTGCGCCGTCTGGAATGTGGAGATTCCTTTGAAGATGAATGTTAAATAACCACACGATCTTCAAAAGTGACACAACTCAAAATTCGGCATTTTTTAAATTATGCACTAGCAATGTACACAGAGCTTTGATTTACCTTTCTGCAAAAGCTGGAGCAAATTTGTTATAATTTGTTGAAAAAACTTGCCCATATGATTAGCATGGGCTACGAAATAGTTTCTCGCATTTTCTTACGAATGTCTAATTTTGATGATCGTGTGCGATATGTATTAGATAGAAAGCTTACGTGGAAACCTGATTTAGGGGAAACGGTCATGGGGCCAACGTTAAATTATCCACATGTGTATGCAAACAAGAAGTCGGAACCAAATGGGGGCTAACACCTCGTATTAAACATTGGACTTACACTTTCGTGGTTAGGCCTGTACTATTACATATCGCACACCGTCTTCAAAACAGTCACAACTCAAAATTTGGCATTTTTGTCCCTATGCGCTAAAATTGTACACAGAGCTTTTATTTACCTTTCAGCAAAAGATGGAGTAAATTTTTGTTATAATATGCTAAAAAAATCCTAAGGGAAAATCGCCTTTGCCCATATGATTAGCATGCGCTACGAAATAGTTTTTCGCATTTTCTGACGAACGTATTATTTTGAGTTGTGACTCTTTTGAAGACGTTGTCCGATATATTGAATATTTGTATTGTGGACCTAAAACTCTTGAGTAAGGTCCCAAGAACAGCGTTTTTGGGCATCTCTGGTGCCTTGAGGACCACCCCAAAGAAAGCGCTAGAAGTGCTAGCCAATTTTGCTGTAGTAAATCTGGTAGGAAAACACTTGGCCGCCGATTCGGCGCTTCGAGAAAATAGTATGCCGTAATGGATGGATTGGCGGTTTGACCGCTCTTCTATACCACACGCTGAGTAGTTATAACCACGAAGTCGATTACTTCCCACCTTCGACATACTCTATTAAATGAACATCCCGTTAAGAAGATAGTGGCAAGCGCCAAGAATATGGAGAAGGGGGGAATTATGTTTCTACACGGATGGTTCCATGCTGACAATAGGGTTGGATACGGGGTTTTCTCTAAAGAATTAGGATCAGAATTCGTCCAAATTTCGCAAGACTGCAGAGTTTATCAGCCAGCTATATAGGATGTGGCTGTGTGCCTTAATATATAGTCTAAGATAGCCAGGCGGCCATCAAATCAATGAATGCGGCAATGCTAAGATCAAAGGCAGCACCATCTTCAAGGTCAGGCATATATGGGTTCCGGGACATAGAAATATTGAAGGAAACTACAAGAGCAATGAGCTATCTAAGAAAGATGCCAATCTAACAAAGATACCAATCTAGCAAAGAGATAAAATTGGGACACCCATGGCAATCTGCAAATTAAAAATTAAAACTAATATTATTCGAGGGGTCAATAGATCATGGATAGATAAGAGGCACTTATCTTTCTTAACTCTATCTATCTGTATACTTCGCAAAGCTGTTCCTGCTATTCCATCGAAGTGCAGACAGATCCTTTGCACTTGGTCCTTACTTTGTGTTCGTGAGCGTCCTTTTTTCGTTACTTGCGCATGGGTGACGGCTCGAGGGATTTTTCACTGGTGCCTTCCTAGTTTGTTCGTCGTCGCTTCATTTTTGTTCTTCGAGAACCCAATGTGACACTTGTTGGTAAGAGTTATGCTAGGCTTGATGTGGTTTTATCGGTGATGCTTATGCTAAATCCTAGGTAGAAATCTTTTACTACTGCAACGATATATTTGCCAACAGTGACAAGGAGGCAGAAGATACATTGTTGTGTTTTCATTCACTGCTAGATATATTTACCTTTGTTGACTCTTTCCCAATACTGGAAAATGCTGCGCTGACGTCCTTGGGTTTCAGACTGACGCTTTCTGACATTGATTGAAGAAGTCGCACAAAAGTTAGTTGCCTTTTCTAAAACTCCGTTTGATCTTAAACAGCGGAGTGAGGCCACTTCCAACATTTATAGCACTCAGAAAAATCCATTGGATTTATGAAACTTAATTAAGCCTATGTTGTTTAACCGAGCCTGGTGGAACTCAGCAGAGAAGGCTACACTGGCTAAGTAACTACTGCGCGTACAGTGGATTACACTTATCAGCATGCGTGGGGCAATAAAAACCACGCCTACACGCGTCATGCAATCACAATTGCCCCAGCACGAACTCTCATTAGGCTCAGCAAAACCGGATTGTTAGCTAGTTCGGAATATGGACGCGCTGGAGTTCCGTAGAGATTTAATTTCGTCTCTGACAAACAAATTGCTGCGCCTCCGAAATGGCTCCCAGTAGCTACTTCCCTACCTACATTCCCTTAAGGGCGGATTAAGAGGGCGGGGTTACTGGAATAAGGGAGCAAGGTTGGTGGAGGTGTCTATTGTTGGGAGCTCTTAACCAAAACTACTTTCAGGCTTCCGCATTTCTGTGCGCTGTGACGTTCGTTAGGGAGGTTAGCATGAGATCTTATAGCCAGGCTCTAAAAACATTGGTAGTGCGCTCGAAATCGGTAAGGGAATGTCTGACGCGTCGCAATACTTCCTAATCAGGCTAATTTTGGTGACGGGCCACAGTGTAATCGGAAAACTTCATGGTGGATGTCTTGGCTTGGAAGGGCAGCCTTAAAGCTACCAGGTATAGAGCAGCTGGGTATGCCTCTGTACTCCTGCGGTTCACTCTTGGACGATTAAGCGTAATGTAGGGTCAACGAGCGCTGTACTTAAACTAAGACGTACATGGTGGACATGTAGTGGAACAGGGTGGTCACTGGAGCTTCTTATGGTCGCAAAATAGTTGCAGGATCCTTCTGATTAAGCATTATTTCTTTTTGTAAAAAGTTGAGTACTGAAACCAAAGAAAGGCGTGATAAATAGTATGTGGATTCTACACCATCAATTTCAATGGTTAGAAAGTGGTTTACTGCACCGTTTCGTAACCGTTGGTCAAACATTTATCCATCATATAACACCAGAGACCAAGGGACAATCATGAAGGCCAAAGTGGATTTGTCGGCCAATAAGGGCATGGCAGAAGTTTTTTGGAATGCACACGGTGTCATTCACATCCATTAACTTGAAAAGGACAAAGCGATCACTGGCGATATTATTTAGAGATTTTGGCGCTGTTTCATCAAGGCAGTGCACGTGTGTAGGCACCATAGAAAAACCATCAATTGGTCTACGAACTCCATCCCCAACCACCAACCATCGACTTTTTCCTGTTACCAAAACCCAAATAAAAGCTGGGCGGTAAGAGATTTGAGTCGAATGAAGAGGTCATCACTGAACCAAACACTAATTTTGAGGGCATTGAAAAACCTATAATTTGGTAGGAATTAAAAAAATTATAAAAATGCTGGCCTGAATGTATCGAGCTGAAATGAGACTGTCTTGAGAAATAAAACGCTTTTTCGCCGAAAAATATCTATTTAATTCAAAAAGTCAGTGATTCGTACAATACGTAAATTATTTAAATTAATAATTTGTTCAATCCTTTCGGTAAAACTCGTCATAGGGCAATACACGCAACACACCAGCCAACAGCCGTTTAACAATTTTCGCAACGGCATCATTTATTTGAGCTTCCATATCAGAATACAGCAGCTTCCAATTGTCATTGATGAGTTGATTTAGAGAATTGGCCAATTGTTCGTTACCATTAAATAGATTTTCGAATTTCACTTGCATTCTGTGTGAAAAGAAAAAAAGTAAATTTGAATTTTATAAATAATTAAAATTTGAGTGTCATGAAAATTGTCTTACAATTCTGGTGTTAATTTGCATTTGAGGCCCTTAACTTTTATGAACTGCTTGCCATCTTTCCGCACGTCCTCGCTCTTAAATTTCAAACTGAGTTTGCTATTCTTCAATCTTATTTTCGCATAACCAGTGGCGTCCATTGGTAGTATCAGCACCTTGCCGGTAGAAATGTATTCTCCATCGACTACCAAATTTGGTAT